AAATGATTTATAGATTCATTGAAACTTCGGTTGATTTAAACATTATATTTGCAGAACATCACATGTTAAATGAAATCCTGTTTTAATTATACCAAAATAAAATTATTTCTTTACATTTTTTCGATAATGAACGAGGTTGCGCTGTAATTGCTTATGAAATTTTTATATAAACTTTATGAACTTTCCTAATTATCTTTATATTATTTTTAATTTTGAAATTATTTTTAGCTTATTCCAAAAATCAATGAATGTGTCAAAGCTCTGGAAGAAAATCTGTACGAAGTAGCTAAAGATGGTAAACCTGTTAACTGTACTCAGTAAGTTCTTTTATTTATAACAATAATTTATTAATAAATATTACAATAATAACTCGCAATACTAATACTTTATCGTGTTTTTATATAACAGTTGACATTTTTGAAATGATAAACAATGAATATCTTGTATATTTTCATATAGAATTTTACGTCTAAGAATTTAAAACTTTGTAATATTGCATCACAAGCACACGCACACACAGATACAAAAAATATATGTATTATAAGTTGTATAGCCTTTATTGCATATTGTAAAATAAATATGATTCACGCCGAATAACGAAATGGTTAAGGCATCTGTCTATTGCTCTGATAGATTTGAGAACGAAATTCAGGCGAGTGATCCGAGAAAATTCTTGTGGGTGGCCGGGATTTGTCTTTTACCATCAGCCTATCTATTGTAGGCTGGTTTCTATTAGGCTCATAATGGGATGGAAACACGATTAAAAAAGTCTTTTTTAATATCCGCAAGTAAAAAGGAGTTAAAAAGGAAATATAACTGCATTTTGCCATCGTTGTAATAAATTAGGAATAACAGACAATAAGGAAAAAATAAAGAATCTTGTGTTTTTGAGAGACGCGAGTTATCAAGCCGATGTTCTTTCCAACTATTGGTAGGGATCCATCAGTTGCAATATTAGTCAACAATTTATTAACATTCCTGAAAACCTCTCTGCGGATTTCAAAGAAGAGTTGATGAAAGTTCTAAAGCCCAACTTCTTAGTACTTTCATCAACTGTTCTTTGAAATCTGCACTAGTTTTTTTGCCCATCATATCCTCTAACTCTTTAATTATTTGAAATTCATCGTTCCTCAAAGGAAGATAACCAGTTGAGCTCTATCAGACAACCCATGAAAAACGTCTTGAAATGTGATGCTCTGAATTTTAAGATATCTTCAATATTCATTGGCATGTCATCAAATCTTCTACCCATAGTAAATTTCGACAAGGTAATTTTCGAAATAAACTTTTTCCAGGAAATAATACATTAACTACAGCTTCAAAGCTTTCGTTCACTATCTCGCATTACTAAGGGGCTTCATACAATTTGACAGTATTTTGGAAACCAAATAACCGGCATCCACCGAAATGTCCGCCTCAGTAGTGGCTTCTTGAAGAGATTTAATTGGCTTACAAAACGTTTTTCAAATTCCTGCATCTTAACATTCCGCTTCTGGCCTGAAAGATACCATATTTTGATTAATGCATACTTTGCATTGTGACATCGGTTGACATTACATTTTTTTCAGGACCATTGCAAATTAAGAATATTACAATCTCGAAATCCACCTACTGCTTAATTTGCATGATCAACCCAGTACTTTGGGCTTTTTCTCTCTTAGATCATGTCCGAATGTCTGGAAGTTCGGGGTGTAAAAATTTAAAAATGGTATATACAGAAAAAATTAAATACTTTATATGCAGTTAGCTTATAGATCAGGGCTTTATAGGTTACACTCATAATTATATGATACATATAATTTTTAAGAGCTGTTAAGCAGGCTATGAAATTTCATCATAAAAGGTAAAAAGCTAATAAAGATTCTTTGGTTAGGCTAGCGATACGTTATGGGAATTCGTTCTCGCTCAATGTCGCTAATACAGTATATTTCCGCGCGCCTGGTACAGTACGTTTGTCTTTTTGATCATTCTTTTAAATTAACTTTGTAAAATAATAAATGAAATTTATGAATAATAAAATTTTTTAAAAATTAATGAAAAAAGAATGATGTAAAAAGTTAGGTAACTAAGACAATTCTAAGATACTTTTGAAAAATGACAGGGTCTTAGTATACTCGGAACCTACGTTGAGGAGTAACCATGATCTAAAAATCCTGAATATGCAGCTGCTCGAAGGCCGCTTGTTGCTCATGAGTCTTGACTGAACTACATTGATTAAAATCCGGTTATATGAAGCTTATAATCGTATTGCCAACAGAGCAAAGATTAATATCAAATCCCTTTGTAATGATGAGGTTTAGTGTATGGCATCAAACAAATGGTTAAGAACTACATGACAGAATTCATTTTTGACTATCGTTTATTTCGTCTCGGACTTGAAGTAGGCCTGTGGAAAAGAAAAAAATGTGATTCCTTTCATTTTTCACTACCACAGCCGGTTTGCCGAGCGGCTGCGGTGGCACCCTACCGCTCTGGGGTCTAAAATCCCTAGGAATTTTTCAGGGGAATGGCCTGTCCGGATATGTCCGGCTCCATCTCTCACTACCTAGTCACCGCATTGTGAATCTGCCAAACCCATAATGGGATTGCTCTAAAAAGGCTCTCTTAGAACCAACAGGAAAAAAAATTTTTTTTTTAATTCAGCAACGAATTTCTTAATTTCCAAGGCAACATTTAAAACTGGGTGTGTGGCGCCATCTGTTACGATGTTTTATAAAAAAACTTTTTTATATTTTTAATTATTATAAAATGATAAAAAGCTTGATTTTGAAGGTAGGGATAAGTTTGGGATTAAAAAATTGTAAATGCTGTGGTTTTGAAGTTTAATCGTCATTAAGTCTGACCTTACTCGAAAGATCAGAGTCGATAGATACACTGGTCCTTGCGCTATGCTCTAAAATTCAGTTAATGTCTTAGGTTGCCGATAGCTGGCGTGAGAGTCACTATTAGGCAAGAAGAAGTTTATATACAGTAGACCCCGTATAAAACGGGTTCATATAATTCGGATTCGTATATAACTGCCAAAAAATTGCGACCGTATTCGTATAAACACGCTAAAAGAGACTCGTATAATTCGGTAAAACGTCATCGCTGACTCGAGTCGCGACAGGATTAGTCGAATCTAGACCAATAGCGGATATTGCACAAACCGTTGAGTTTAAACGAACAGCAGACCTACTAAAAACCATTTATTATTTAACGTCCATAAAAATTATATTTATATTAATGATTTCTCCAAAGTTCAGCGAATTTTTCGCAGAAAAATAATTTATGAGGAAACACGCGCCCGCTTTTCGATGAGCCGCTCCGCGACGAAAACAAGCTTAAGCAATGGTGTCGTCGAACGGTACACTCTCTGTAAGTAATCCTACAATTTTTTGTTTATAGCATAGTTTATATGGATTATTCCCAAAAAATTATACGTGTTTCGGAAATATTGAGTCGAATTAGTCTAGAATCGATTAATTTTATGGAAGAAAACCTCTCAAACAGCCGTAGTCCGTAAACTGCACACGTGTCGGGCTGTGATTGGCTCGTAGAACATCAATTTAACTTAAACTTAAGGACTCGTAGAACATCAATTTCATAAAGAACGGAACGTATCTACCGCGTTAAAGGGGGTTAGACTGTATTCGGTAGGAGGTAGTTTTCCCATTTTCAAGCATTTTTGTAACCATTAAAAAAGCCTTGACTTATAACTTTTACGAAAATGTATGGATCAGCATATATACATCGTTATCTATAATCTGTGCAAATTTCATGAATTGTTTTTGCCGCGAAAATATTTTATGACGATTTATTAATTAGGTAATTAATCGCGTTATTGTTTTTTATGGGAGTTTTTTAATCAAATTAATTAAATCGTTCTTAACTTTTATTTCACTGATTTGACTTCGGTAAAATTTTTTAAAACGCTATTTTTTATGGCATCAGCAGGTTTTTTTTGTTTTTTGTTCAGTAAAATTTTTCCCCATATCTTGATTTTGGTCCCCTCGTAATTTAATAGCATTAAAATGTCAATATTGTGTCATTATATTTGAAGAGATGCCGTAAGTTAGCTCCCCCTCCTGCTTTAGACCAATATTCCCCTGAAGCGTACTGTACAGTACATAAGAACTACCTGGGAAAACGGACTCCAGCTGTTCTCAAGGTCAACCAGTTTGTAAACAATGTAGATTGCGCGTGTGAAATTTCACGCCTTGTTAAACGAAAGAATAACAATCCTTACAGCTATATTTTTCAAATAAAAGCATTTATTTTAAATTATTTTTATTTTTTATATACTTTTTTGTAAAAACACTTTTTGGAGGTTTTTATTTTGCTGGAATTATTTCCCGGCAATTTTTTTGGATGTCAGATNTTTGTAAAAACACTTTTGGAGGGGTTTTTATTTCGCGAGAATTATTTCCCGGAAATTTTTTTGAATGTCAGATTCGCGTTTAAGCGGAAATAATTATTTCATATAAAAAATAAATTTTTTGTGGATTCCTTAGTTGCATTTGAATTGGAACAAGGGTAGTGAAGCAGTTATGACTCACATTGGCTCTACAAAGTTTGATAATTTACATAAAATTCTGCATTATCAAAAGTAAAATATGTATGAAGATTTATTGATGGTCTACTACACCTGTCCTTTGTTTGTATAAGTTTAAAATATTACTAACATATCTTTCTTTTAGCCTCCGTCATCACTAATAAATATCACTGTCAATATCTAATAATACTGTCTGAACTCTTGCCATCCTACATTTACCTATTTTATTTGTCAACCTCTGTCATCATTCTCTTATCATTTCTAAGTTATTATGTGTCTGTAAATATGTTGAATATGTTGTCTAAATAGTTGGAATTTCCTCTTTTTCCTTAAACAATCTATATTTTAAATCCAAGAACTAAATTTAGACTTTTAATCTCCCTCTCTAACCTGTTCCTAACTTTTTTGGCTAAACTTCAATCTCTCTTTATCTCATTAAATTAATAAACACAACATAAATTGTGAATAACATATAGCTCGTTTCTCACTACAATAATTTACCTAATATTAATAAAAAAATAAAAAAATATGGGCTTCACCTTGATAAACTCCAAAGCCACCCTAAATCCTAAATCGCTTGTTTTGTAACACTTTATCCTATCTTAACACATGGTTTAACATTTCTATACATTTTTATATACAGGGTGTATCAAAATGACGGTTTAAAAGGAGGGATTGTAGAGGATGAAATTTTGAACGTTTTGATATCAGGAACCCCTAGCCGGAAATGTGATATAAAGATACAGTTTTTAATATTTGCTCTTTTGGAATATTTTTTAACTTGCTTAGATCATAGAGAAAATCAAAATTTTCAAAATGTTTATTTAAAGACATAAATCCGGAATCCAAATTGCTTATTATATACGGTGTATCAGGATGACGTTTTAAAAATTTGTGGGATTGTAGAGAATAAAATTTTAAACGTTTTGATATAAGGATCCTATAGCCGGAAATGTGATATAAAGTGTCTACAGCGGTAGGAAGTGCTTGACCGCCCTTTATTTTGGTACCTACCCTTCCGTCCATTGACATCATGTTATTGCTGCGGATGGAAGACTATAAACACACAACTACAGTGGTCTAATTGAACCTGTGTACAGGACGTTGTGTACTTAGTGCTTGCCGTCCTTCAGGTCACCATCAGAGGGGAGCGTGGCATCTTACAGAGAGCCGGACAAAACATGGTTCGTCGTTGCACATTATGTAACGAAGTTCGTAGTCGTCACATTGAACATTTACTCTAAAGTAGTGCAGCCACTGATTCGATGTACAGTTTGATTGTACGCTACTGTTTTGTCAATAAAACTCGTCATAAATACTGTATTCTGCTGTTTCATTCAGCATACCGAACGCATAGAACGTGCAAAGTGCTGTAGAAACTTTATATCACATTTCCGGCTATAGGTTCCTTATATCAAAACGTTCAAAATTTTATCCTTTATAATCCCCCAAATTTTTAAAACGTCATTCTGATACACCCTGTATAATTCTCACCATTCCTTTTTCTTCCTGATTCAGAGAGTTATCGGGAATTTCGAAGGCATCCCATATTAATAATGTAAGCCTATATACAGGCTTAACTATAAATTTTTTGACTACGTTTTCTTTCCCTTAACAAAAACTCCCAAAAATATTTTAAAATATACACAAATTGTAAGGAAAAAACAAACAGTCTAATCAATTTATAGTCTAAAATAGTGAACGTGACAGTTAAGAGAAATATAAATATTAACGACATTTACGAATAAATAATGTTCAAAACCGGATTAAAATAGTATTTATAAGCAGTCCTTTAAAAAAGACAAAAGTAATATTCGAGTTAAAAATAAGAAAATTTCATATATTAAAAGAATTTCGAATGTTTACAGCTGACTCTCCCTATGCTCCAGCCAATCTTACGACTATATGCGATCGAAGTGGGAGAAATATTTATTATGCCAGTATCATAGCAGAACTGTAGCAGCGCAAGAACCATTTATCGACTCTGGCGATATGACACACACCCCCCTATATCTCCTCACCCCTCGACCTTTAAGCATCGAAATTTAATAGCATTAATCCCCCTAATACACAAACCTCCCTGCAAAATTTCAGAAAATTCGACAAAAAATACAGGAGTTATTAAGCTTCAAACAGGTTGAACAAAAAGGTGCCCGCCACACAAACTAATATTCATACATACAGAAAAGAAGCCCAATTTTTTTGTATTTCTCGACGTTTCAAGGTCCCGAGTCAAAAATGTAAAAATTTTACGGGTGATTTTTTGACCGATCGCCATACTTTCCCTCTGTTATATGTAATAGACGGTAAATTAAAAATTAATTCTTTTTTAAAATTCTCATAGAATAAAGTTGATTATGTCTTTTCTACCAGATAAATAATAATTACTTTTGTGTTTTTTCTTCTAGACATTTTAACGTCTTTGTAATGGATTCAATTTCCAGATGCGCTTTCAATATGGTTATTGATAGTCGTGATTACGTTAAAAATCCTTTTGTGAATTCCATCTCCAATGTTTTTTCATCAGTTCCATGGAGACATTTGATGTTTGGTAAATAGACGAATTCAGTAGATAAACTTTGGCATCAGTAGCAATTCTTTCAATGCAGAGGTAATGATATAATATAAAAAAGAATTACTGAACGATTAGTGTGTTCATTTGCATTCAAACTGTCGAAAAAGCATCTCTTACAAGACCTCGCTAGTATTTTGAAAATGAATACAGTAGAGCGTCGTTTATCCGAATCATTTGGGGACCGGGGTTGTTTCGGAACTTGTTTTCGGATAACCGATTATGTACGAAAAAATACATTAACCTATTCCATCCTGAAATTTTTCTCCGTTGCGTGTCGCTTTGCGTTGAATTTTCGTCGATGTTAAGCCTAACGTAAACTTTTTAAAATAATAATCGTGGCTATTGTATCGTTAAAAATTATTTTTTTATTTTGTACAAACAAAAATAAATTGAAAAATATAAAAACAATAAAAAATTCTACTTCAGAAGTTAATTTAGTATCAACAACGTAAAATATTTGAGTAGCCCAAGACATAGCCAAAAATTGCAGCGCCACAGCACTAGCAGAAATTTAAATTTGCGGACTGGAAAGCTTTCGGTTAATTAATGTTTCGGTTGATAGACATTCGAATAATCTATTCTCTACTGTATTTAATATTCGAATCCTGCTCGTGAAACTTTTTAATTTTGTTAAAATAAGCAGGTTTACAACTCTTAAATTAAAAATTTTTATTTTTATACATTTAGGTTATAGAAAAAAAAATGGACAAAAACTACGTGTGGAAAATTTCTGGAGTCGACGTAAATACTTTTTAGCTTTTACAGAACTGGTTATTTACATATATTAAAGATAAAATTGAACAATGGGATCGGTTATATATACAAATTAATAAATATAATTCTAAAAATACGTATGCTGGGATAGTATTGTTCATCATAAGAAGACACTTGTTAATTGAAATTAGTATCCACTGAAGAGACCTAATAGGCGAAATGCATTTGGATTTCTTAAAAAAAATTAAAATAAATGCTTTCCTTTTTTTATTGTTAACTGTCTTTTCACAATTTACTCGAAGTCGAATAAGTGTTTTTACTCGAAAAATTGTTCTGAGAATTCTTTATTTTTAGAATTATATTTATTAATTTGGTTATTTAAAGTTTTTCATTTTAAATTAATTTTGTATTGTTTACAGAATCCCGTGTGGATGAATTTTACTAAATCAAAAAACAAATAACTAACACTTGGTATTTAGATATCATTAACATTTTACAAGAACAGTTAAAATTTAGGTAAGTTAGAAATTCCTGGTAATATCGATAAGTAATGACNATATATATATATATATATATATATATATATATATATAGTTATTGCATTTTTAAAAATGTATTTAAAAAGAAATTTATACTATGTAGGAAAAATACGATGATTTCCTTCAATGGATGTTAGACAGTTCAGGTTATGAAACAAAAGATCAAAAGTCTGGTTCTAATACTACTGAAAATAAATGTAAGTTCATTTCTCAAAAGTTTACGAGTTGCTAGAAATGAAATTGGAAAAACTTGCCACATTTTAAAAATTACACGAAACTTTCTTCGTTACCAATGCTGACTCATTCCACTGAGTATTAAATCTACTTGTAATGGGTGTAAATCTGTTTGTAATGCTTGTAAAATTGTCGACGACTGTATAGGAAAATAAATAAATAAATGATAATTAAATACTTTATTTGTACAGTACAGTACATCCGAAGAACAATTGATACATTTCAAATGCAGTAGTACCTCGATTAGCTCTCCCTGACATAGTGTTGTTTCGAGATAGCGCTTTTTCGTTTAATCCTATATATTTTCTCAATAAAACCTAATATCATAATTAGTGCTATAGATACATAGCACTAGTTACGATATTAGGATAATTATAATAAAGTATATCTTTCTGGTGTGCCGAGTGCAGTAGTCTGTATTGAGCTTAATCCGTGACGAATGGGTGTAATATGTATTGTAATTTGAATTTAATAAGAAAACATCAATGAGAAATCAAACAAAAACTAATATAGAAGTCAACAAATTACTTATGAAAGTTTTGAAGTTTGTGATTAATCTAAAAATTAATGATTTATAAAATACGATATTTTTGCACTTTATAATATTTTAATGCATTCTGACTAAGTTCTTGAACATACCTCGTTGGACCTTTAGATATATTTATTTTGTATTTGCAAAGTAAAACGGAAACTACCCAAATAAAAAAATTCTAGTTGAGGAGAAGTGCAACTAGGGCAGTCAATTTAATGTTAAGACTATCCGAGAACCCACCTTAACAGTCTGGCTTCCCATTAAGTCCCGGTGCTAAGGATGTTTCTCTTTATTGCCCTTCTTTCTTTCTCTTATCCCTATAGGACTGTTCTCGCACACTTGTTCTTTTTCATGTTTTCTCCTGTGCTCGGCTAACTTACAAAGAAACCAGCTCACGCCTATCTTCATATCTGTGAGGGATGGTAATATCATTAGATGATCTAGAGCGTTTTCGGGAAGGGCAGGCACCAGGGCGGTAGCAAACTAATAAGAATAAACTCGCGAACTCAGTCAGTCAATCAACATTTCGCTGCGGACTACTTCAGTGCTCACATGTTAATTGACTATCATTTCAAAATCTTATACATTATTTCATCATTCGTTAATATGGACTTTAAATGAAACAATGACCTCTATTCGAGGCCATTAAGAGTAGCGAGAAATGCAGAACTTTGTATAACTTGCATCTGATTAGTCGAAATGTATAATGTGATCTAAAATGGTGATCTCTGATCGGTCGATTTGAGATTGTGTCACGTAACCAATTACGACCACACAGGAGCAAAACGCATAATATAATACGGTGGCCTCCATGTGACGGTAATGACACATCACAACATAACGCCGTAATATGCCGTAATAACCGGACATGACTTTAACACCTTGTATTTGATAATATATTTATGAACGAATTATTAACATGTTCATACAATATATTGAAAGTAAATAATAAAAATATAGTATAATATACATAATATTATACTATAGACTGCTATATTAGAGTATGACGTCCAAGATCTTGATTGCTGCGTTTGCTAGTAATAATTTCAACTCCATGTGAAACAACTTCTTAAGAGGAGCTGAAATTATTAGCAACAACATGCTGCATTAGCGACAAACAGCAGAATTTTTCTCATTTGTCGGCACATATTCTTATTCAATTTATCAAAGAAGAAAAAGTCTGACGTGACAGCCATATTTCTTGTTTGAATCTCACTAAATACAAGTTGTGAAACACAAACATTTTGAAATACCATAGTTTTACAGCTATAACTTATCAGTGATGGCTCCTTTTTCCTGCAGAGATTAAGCACACAAAGCAATAGATAGTTTTTGCTTTGTTATTTTTTGTCTTTGTATTACTCACTTTTCGTTGTTATGCATTGTCTGGAATTGCTTTGTAAAATAATCTTGTCCACATTTGTAGATGTCATGTTCAGAATTGATTTTTATTTATCGAAAGCATTTTCATTTACAATTTTGTCACAAACCATCCAAAACAATGATGTAAAGCAGATGAAACTTATCAAGCCATTAATTTCTGGCATGTAAGCTCGAAATATCAAGTTTCTTGGCAAATATTAAGGCATTTCTTGTAGCATCGGTCCTGAGAAAGACAGATCTTTCGCCTCACTGCGAATGAATCTACTCTAAAATTGCTCTGTTGACATCTTCATATGATTGAGCACATTTTTTGGTGTTCTCGTTAATGTCTGCTTCTCGTTCACCGATATAAAATACCTTATTACCAAGAATTGCTTGGATTTGGGCCTTCCCATAATTAGATTTCTTTATCGATTATTGTAGCGATTTTCAAGTTTCATTTTGCTTAATTACAAAATATTGTTTAAAAGACAATTTGGCATTAGTAAGTATATACTACTTACAGTATTTTACTTTTAGATCATGTTTTCATAACACGTGGTCGCTTGAAAGAGCGCTTTTTACGGTACACGTAAAAAGTAAACAAAAAAAACATTATTGTACAGTAAAAAACTGGCCTTTTCAAAGCGTTTCAAATTTCATTAATTATAAAAGCGAAAAAACTTGATTTCGGAAAGACCCAGTAAGGTAGGAGATAGAATTCTGAAAGGCCCTGTAATTTTCGGAAATTTCACTATATTAAGAAAGCAGAACTGAATAATATTTATAACACTTTTCATGTTATGCAAACTAATATTTTCTAGAAGCATAGAATTGTTTTTAAAATTAATACTGTGTATAATTTACTTATAAAATTTAAAAACTCATAATATTTTAATTTTTATAAAATCATTGAAAAATATTAGATCTGACCCGAGACGAAATTATCTCCCAGTGCATTTTGTTTTTTATTGTCGGATTCGCCACAACTGCTGCCAATATTAACTTTATCGTATACAGTTTAGCATTAAATCCCGAATGCCAAGAAAAGTTAGCAAAAGAATTACAAGAAAATCTTCAAAATCAGGTCGGTTTTTCTTTTTTCTAAATATAAAACTTAACTTGAATGTGAATATTTGTAATATATTTTAATAGGAAGAACTAGAATACGAAGACGTTCAGAATTTACCTTACTTAGATGCAGTCATTTCTGAAACGTTGAGATATTACTCACCAACTCCAAAGTAAATACTTCTTATTTTTCATAGAAATAAAAGTAAATATGTTATCATTTTCAACTTTATATTTTATTTTGTAGAGTTATTCGCATGGGACACGAAGATTATCATTTAGAAGGAACGGATATTGTTGTTCCTAAAAATAT